ATTATTATATTAATGATATTTTCATACTTATTATCTATACTACATTAATAACTATTTAAACAAAAGTCTTAAAGCATAAATTACTATCATTTTGGGCAAGAATTCAAAAAACTATTAATTACAAATTATTATCCACAATGTATATGCAATTGTTTCCTACAATACCAAATCCTAATTGGTTCAAACATCCTTTCTCTCCTCTGACTTCTAAAATAACCGGCTGATTTCTTCTTCTTCTTCTTCTTCTTCTTCTGTTTCCAATCTCATATGCGACCAAAACCATTTTGGGTTACATAAGGTGACTATTGAAGCTCCTAATATGGTAGATTGATATATGGTAGATTGATGATTCAAATCATCTTCCCCATTATATAGTTAGGTTCAGTTTGTTACTCACATGTGGATCCTTCTGAATCTTGTTGATCCTCTTTCTTCGTCTCATTTCTCCCCTTCCCGAGTGTCTCTCTAAAATCGACACACTTAACCGACCATTGGTTCCATCAATAGAGATTTGCATCTTTTTAGAGTTGAAAATCGTGATTGCAAAGGATTCATCGACTAGATTTTGGATTTGGTTTTGATTTTGATTTTGACTTTGCTATAAATTTGGATTCACATATTAGGGTTCATCTTCATTGCTTCATCTTACAAATTAGGTTTTGATTTTAACTTGTTGCTTTCATCTCCATCGCTCCATCTTAGCTAATTTTTTTTCGATTTCTCCATTGCTCCATCTCATGTAATTTTTTTGATTTCTCAATCGCTCTATCTCAGGTGATTTTTTTATCGATTTGGTAATCTCAATTTAGATCAATTTTCTCATTGAAAAAGGCAAAAAAGCGACGGAATCGACGATAAGTCTTTATTATTTTWTGATTTTKRTTAWTATTGTTGCTTCTTCAAATCGTTACATCTTACTTTTCGAAATCGATAGTGGTGGTTTAGATTTCTTCTTACTGTATCTTATCCAAGTCGACTGGTTTTTGTTTTTCTTTTTTTCTCGAAAATTACTGTTTGTATACTTTGTTTTTAATTCATTGTTGTTGGTTTTGCTGCATCTTGCCTTATCAATTTTGTATTTGTTGTATTTTCCTAGGTGTTGATTTGTAGTTGATATTGATATTGATATATTGGTGTGTGTTGAATTCGCAGAGATGACAAAGAGATAGAAGGAAGCTTTACAATCATGCTAAATTGTTTTGTGTACCCCTTTGTCTTCGATCATAAAAACACCTTACAGCTCCACCCATAAACCCTAAACCCTAAACCCCCTTTGTCTTCGATCATAAAAACACCTTACAGCTCCACCCAATTATGCTAAATTGTTTTTGGAAGCATTTTTATTCTTAAGTTCACTTGCTTTGAGGYTGTTAGAATGTGTTTTATGTTTTCAATAAGAACTACATATGCTTATTGTTGAAGGAGGAGTCATGCTTTCATTCTTCATTTTTTTTTCTTTCTAATTGTAGGTTAGGTTGGTGTATGACTACTATGTTGTATGTATCATMATATCTATTGATGAGGATGGTTATTGTTTTTCCTACAATTGTAGGCTTACAGCAATTGAGCTGTTTGCTATAGAAAGCTAGAGGCAACGCAAGGAGGTCTGAAGGATGCAAAGAAGTGCATAGAGCTTCATCCAAATTCATGAAGGGGTACACCTAAAAAGGTCCAATCCAGTTCTTTATGCCTATCTATCTATACTGCATTAATCTATCTATACTACATTAATAACCATTTAAACAAAAGTCTTAAGTACAAGTCTTAAAGAATAGATTACTATCATTTTGTGCAAGAATTCAAACATCTCTTAATTACAAACTATTATGCACAATGTACAAGTTCTTTATGCAATTGTTTCCCACAACACCAAATCCTAATTGTTTCCGTACTAATTAGTTACTAAATTGCGTTATGAAATGTTCTTTTTAACTGAATTGTAGTTGTTGCCTTTGGTTCCTTAGTGAACTTCATTTTGTTCATGCTCTGATTCTTGTAAGTTTGACACTTATTTATGTCATCTAATCATATATCTGCATGGTTTTACTCTAATCGTGTTATCTCTATTCTACGAGAGTTTTTAAGGGTTGACGATTGAGTCTAGATTTTGCTCGTAAAGAATAAATGTCTATAACTCCATTTACTTTGTGAAGCACCACAATATTCTAATTGTCATGTTTCATCAGGGCATGTTGGTGGAATCATCATCAAAGCCAAGTATATCATCACTTTCAAGTTCCAACTTTGAATGTGGCTCCATTTTCTGTTACCATGAATAATTGGTTCCAGAGTGGTGGTATTCTTTTTGAAGGTTAGTATCTTGTATATTTACTAAGAGGCCTCATTGTTTTTTTCCCTTTTGACTACAAGTTTGCCGTTAAATTTCTCGTAATAATTTCGTTTGATTTTTTTCCCGAATCATCCACATTGGTAATCTATATATATATATATATATATATATATATATATATTAAAGAAGAAACCAGTGTCATTGACGTGGCCTTCTGTGGAGCCTAGGACATCCTTTCTCTTTTTTCTCCTTACCTCACCCAACTCAATATTGATTTTTGATTTTCGATGCTCACATTTAAGCCACTTTGATTCATCTTCTCCTACTCCAAAACTGATCCATTCGATTCATCTTCTCCTACTCCAAAACTGACGAATGTTATATTTCCATTTTCTTCATCTATCAGGTGCCCAAGTTTTCATTTCATCATTTTTGGCTTTGTTTTGATTAACGGGTATTTTGAGGGGAAAATGGAGGATGCAGAGAAGATCTTGGTGGAGAAATCTAATCGAAACTGAGCACCAATCGATCATTGACGCTACATCGGATTATGTTGGTGGAGATCGTCTACAGCTAAGACCGAATGCCCACTAGAGCATTAGCTTGACCTCCGACCAGAAAATCGGCACGAAAGCCCTGTAAGTTCATCATCGGCTCTCCACCTCCTCCAATCCGACTAGGGTTATATTTTCATCTAGGGTTCTAATTCAATGATCAAAGAAAAATCTTGATGCCCCTGTATGATCTGTTGTATTATTGTTTAAAATCTTTTTTACTACTATTGATAGGTTTATGTTTTAAACAACCAATCCATCCGGTTAAATTCTTATATGTGGTTCTCTTTTAAGAAGCATCTGGTAGAATATATAGAAAGGAAAAACATTTCCAACTGAATTTATTTTGTGTATCAATCGACAATGTAAACTACATATAGTTTGAAATGGCTACGTATAATAAGTAAATGGTTGCGAGGTTGTGTTTATCCGTAATCGAACTGTCATCAAATCTTTTGGCTTGCCTTAATTTATGAAATGGCTACATCAGATCTATTTCTTTAAATTTGGGATGAAGTAGATGCCTGAGTGAAATATAAACAGATCCTATATGATTTATGAGGGTGATTGTAGTAGTTATTGGATTTGTTGTTGTGGGAAATTTTTGGCCTCCAGTGTCTTAAAAACCCTTGCTTACAGTCCCTTTCAGCTTCATAAGACTTAGGGGCAGTTTAAAACGCTTACCTGGTAAGTACTTACCGGGTAATATTCCTCATCAGATGAACATGGCAAGGCCAAGAATCCTACCCGATAAGAGCGACGATAAGGATGGAGAGTCTTATCCGGTAAGTGAGGGTGACGACTCTTACCCGGGTAAGCATTTAGGTAAACGGCCCCTTACTTTCATTAGTAACCAATCATGAATCAAGTGTTTCAGAAAATTAAAGCCAGGTTCAAAAACTTTAATAAAGAGATTTTTTTCTCATTCCTATATGAGTAATTGATGAACCATGAAATCTATAATTTGGAAAAGTAACTATATCAAAATTATAGTTTTCATGCATAATTAAAAAATATAAGTATATTTTATAATAAACTCAACTGTTTATACTTCCACAGATCCAAAAACTTGTATCAGTTTCAAGTTTAACACATTAGTCATCAATAATATACAAAAAAGTGACTCAATATATAGGAATCAAAATCTGTTGAATCACTCATGTTATGATCTTCTACATCCTATTATCATGCATCACAAGAATAATGAATTATTGCACATGGTAATGTGATTTAAATAGTTCTTTTGAAATCTTAAAGGGTAGACTACTAATCGTTTGATTGCATGCTAAGCTGGAAAAGTCACATTTGACTCCTTGACCTGCGCAAGTTATCGTGATGAATGACATATTTGATGTAATTTATCTGAAGAATCATGTTTAGGCGTTTGCAGAATGTGGTTTTGCTTTATGGAGCTTAACATGTGAATAAAGATCGTTGATGCATCAACTCAAACCTTATATATGTTCACGGTGCTTACTAGCTGAACCCTAAATTAAGCTAAGGTGTGTAGTTTCTGGACATTGGTTATTGGTTATGTTCTATGACTTTCTTTTATTTATGTTGCTTACTCATACCTACTTTATCAAAAAATGTTCTTTCTATTTGTATTGCTATTGTAGATCATGTTTCAGCGACTTTCAAGAACAACCTCCTACTGATCGTGTTTATTGCATCACTTTCATTTATTTCATCAGCAACAGCTTTCCTGGAAGATGAGATGAATTGCATTTGCATTTGTTAACAAAGGCAATAATCACTTTGTAAATGATGAAAGAAGATGACAGGAAATTCTACGTTCTCTTTGCCATGTTATGGTCATCCACACCATGCTATGGTATTACGTTCTACTACTTTTTACAAATCAAACATTTGAATATGATTTATTGATTGTTATATTTAACATTTAAAATATATTTATATGTGCAATCTACATATTCATACCCAAAGTACTTACACTACCATGCAATGTGTGGTTCTCATACTAGCAATGATCTAGCAGCTCCTAAACATTTGGCATGCTCCTGCTATTTCTTTTAGTTCTTTTTTGTTGGTTATTCTAAAGAACATGAGCCATATAGTTTATACGAGGTCCCAATTCATTTATATTTATGTTTTTATGCAACATAGTGTAATTGGAATCAGAAAACTCCACAAGATTAATTTCACATACTACAGTTTCCCATGGAAGAGGGAATCGATCCCGACAATTGATTGTTGTCCATTTAATTGCAAATTTGCATGCTTGCTCAAATTACTTATTGTTCCCTAAGGTACAAAGTAATGGGCTTCATGATAGGGATATTCTGATCATGTGGTATCATGAATCATGGTTTAGGATTTAAACCTCTTAGCTTTTTCTTTATAATTGTTGTTTGATTTATGCTACTGGTTTGATATAGTTCTATTGCTTTTAAACATTAATTGGTGCAAGGTTTTTTTGGCCATGTCTGATTCAAGGGTTTGCATATTTTGGTTCCATATTTATTAAAATCTTTGGTTGTCAAAGGACGGTCTCCCCCATCCTCTCATCAGTCAATTGGGAATCAATTTGTTCAGTTTGAAGTATGGTAAAGCTTGATGTTTTATCTTGGTTGTTGACTTTGAGAATTGTCGTCCTTTGTCTTCTGTTTTGGTGCATGTCTATATTGTGATCTGATATGATTGTGTCTTTTTTTCGTTTTAGATATTTGGAGACGTGGGTGCAAGGTAAAAAGACTGCAAGAGTGATATGTGTATATGCATTTTCCTATTKGTTTCAAKTGYTTGTGCTTCTGGGTATGTCATTCATATGATTTTCTACTAGATTTTGCGTTATGTGGTTTAGTTGAACTCAAAAGATGCAGAAGCAAATGAATTTTTCTGTTGAAGATTTGATGAATATGAGGTCTGCTGGGAATGGGCTGAGATTTTTTTGATGAAAGTTGGTTTGTTTTCTGAAATTTTTGACAAAAGATGTTATAGTTAGCAAAGGATATTGCCATCAAGGATGAAATCTAGCTAGACGGTCCGTGAATTGGACATTGGAGTTAACGGGCCTCGATTTTTCGTTGGTTGTAATTTTTGTAGATGGATTTTGATGTTCAAACTAATTGGTTTTGAATAGTGGGATGACTCTTTTGGAGGGGTATTTGAATTTTAGTTGATGTAGATGAGATACAAAGACTTTAATTTTTGATTTTTAAGTTAAAAGTGGATGGTGGATATGATTGGGTAAATGTGATGTTGATTGGTGAGAGTTCCGAGTCTGTGAAGGTTGGCCGATAGAAATTGAAGGTTCCTCTATCATAAGTTTTCTTAATAATATTTGTATTTTCGAAGTGCTTTTTCCTATACATTATTATTACCCAAACACTTTACACATGGATGATTGGGCTTACAAAAATAAAAAATGATATAAATTTAAACTATTGCTCATTCTCTTTTTATAACATGTTTTGAGAAGATATTATTTTTTGGGATGGCTACATAAGCACATTCATTTTTTGTAATCATATAATTTTTGTTTGGAATAAAAAATTTCTTGCAATCTTCTTCTCTTTTATCTAAAAAAACCTAAACATCGAACATAAATTATTATAATTGTCAATTAACACACACATATATATACACACATACATTGAGAGAGAGGTGCATATACATACATATGTATGTGTATATATGTATATATTTATATGTGTGTATATATTGGGAGAGAACATAAAAAAGGAATAGAATAATCATAAAAAACACCTAACAAATTCCACTTTTAAGAAACTAATGAATAAAAATAATTTAATTAAAAAATAATTAATATATTCATTGTTTAGCATTGTATATTGTATTATTTGCCTGAACTTAATTATATATTTCATAACAACAATATATTGTCACTGCGCAACGCGCGGTGGCACAAACTAGTATGGATTAAAAGAATGACAAAATTATGAATGTTTTGAAGATTATATTCATGCTTACTGTTTCTGCTTTAGGATTCTATTGACACAATCTAAAATTAATTAATGCAGCATTGAGTGGCTCAATAAGGAAACTTTTGAAACGAAACAACCAAGTTCTTGGTCAGATCTTGGCTAATATTTCTTCACTTAAGGTAAGTGTTCCTTCTAGCTTTTTGTAGTGATTTTGTATAATAATCCAAATATTCAAGTATTATAAGAGACACATCTGTGTATTTGCTGTTTAAAAAAAACGCTATTTTGGATCTGTTATATCCGATCAACCTGCTCTTGGAAGCTAACATCTTGCTTTGTGACTTCAAATGACAGTTGCAGGACAATGTCGACCTCTTTAGCCACGCTAAGAACAATATAAATACCATCTTACACGAGTACGTTAGGAAACCATAAAATTGTTCCTTCTAGAATTGACAGCCTTCTTTTAGTTTCTTTGATCACCAAAATGTTTCTATTATAGTTATTTTTAATGATCAAATGTAGTTAAACAACATGAATAACATTTCTTAGTTCTGGAGTTAAAAAAACAACTTAATTAACACTCAAAAATTTAAAAATGCGCAAGAGAAGTGAAAGATTGCTGAAGCTCGGTGCATTCTCCAAGTCCAACAACGCTGCTTCTTCACCGATTCTTATAGATTTTGACACTCTAGATGACTTCAACACTAGATATATTGAACAAGAACAACCACAAATCGGAGACATGATTATATATTTTTACGATTGTCTCTGTATCCATGGTGGTTGCTATATGTGGACGCAATAGTTAGCACACGTGTTGAGTAATTGCTTTAACCTTAAATTTGTTTCCAATGAAGGAAACCTAACAAGGCCTTGAGGTTAGGGCTGTGCAAAACCCGACCCTACCCGAAAAACCCGACCAAAAAGACCCGATCCGAACCGATGTATATTAACCGAACCAACCCGATGTCCAAAATCCGAAAATAATATCGGGGTAGGATCACATGATCCCAAACCCAAACCCGCTCGAAACCCAAAGAACACAAAAGACTTATTTTTCTAGGGATTTAAATCATTCACTCATGACTCGTCCGACCGACTCCGACTGCGACCCATGCTCACTGCGACTCTACCTCTCTCGACAGTCGACTCTCTCGAGTCTCGACTCTTTGCCTCTCTCACTTAATTGGAAAATTGTTTCTCGTGCATACTCAATTTAATGATTTTTGTAAAGGAGGGACCTTAGTGTTAGTGTAGCACAGGCTGCAAAGCAACAACAAAGACATTGAGGCATAGGGGCAGCAAAGCCATTGATTGAGTCATTAAGGCACACAACAACAAAGCCATTAAGGCACAACAACAACAACAATGCCCTGGAGTCTACGTTACATTGTTAATTTGTCATTGTGTAAGGGCAGTAAGGCTGTAAGCAACAAGCAAGCAGGTACGTTGTTAGGGAGAAAAGGATTGTATAGAATATTTATAGTATAGCAGTATAAGAACTGGGTAGTAACTAAACATGGTTTAGTTTTGCACTTCAATTTTTGGCCATGGTAAAGTTAACTAGGGTTTGAAATATTAGATTTTAGATACTGTTTAGCTATATGACGCAAATATTATTTTTATAGGATCTATATTTGGTATGCTTGATAAAAGTTTAATATTATGCCATTTTAAACCGTTGGATTGAGATAATACAACTGTGATTAAAAAGGTGGTTATAACCATATCTTTTTTAAGTATAAGTATTTTTCTTTACTTTTTAATTCGAAAACCAACAATATATAAAAATAAATAGGAATGAAACAAATTACACCAAAAAACAATCATATATTTTTATATTCCGTTATCTTTAACTGTTAAAACTTAAATATAACTTTGAATATCTTATCAATGTCACCGCCTTGCACAAGGATCCATGCTTGTTTTTCCGATTATCTTTAAATCAATTTATAAACACCAACACGAATATGAACATTTTCTCGTTTTTCTACAATCTATGAGTAAGAATCTTGAAGATTTCGATCTTCCAATGGTATATGCAAATGACAATTTTCAATCTGAAGAATTTCATGAGGTACAAGAAGAGGACTCTATAGTTGTTGAAGACGGACAACTTTACGTGGCGTTGTCCAGAGAGATATCATGGGACAATACGAAGGTGTTAGTGAAGCATGTGAAAAAATTCAATCGTGCCGGAGTTTACACCTCAAACGTCGTCTATCAAGAAGTTTTATTTAATGAATAAGGTATAATCAACAATCATATTATTACACATTTTGTACCATATGTTTCTATTAAAATCATTGTGCCGGTTTTTGCAGGAAATACTTACGAATGAGTGCATCACGAAAACTAAACAACAGTTTGGATATACGGATAAACATTATTTTACAAATGATTGTATTTCTTTGTTCAGTCAAAAATTTCAAGTTTTGTAATGAGTTTTGAGTATATGGGTTTAGAAACCCAATACGTGAGCAATTATTTTTCCATTCGATCTTGCTAATACACCATATTAACCTTCAACTTTATATATTAGTAATTTGCAAAATAACCACAAAACTCATGATTCAAGGCTAAACTAATGTTTCAGAATTGTGATTCACTCGCAGTGCATCATGCAGGTACACCACTAGTTATTATTATATACATAAGCAGTATTATAATTTTATCTTACTTATTTTGATATTTTTCAAATTGTATTATTTAAAAGTTTTTATGAGTAAATATATATTTGATAATGAAAAGATATTTACAATGCATTGATTTTATTAAATCAAGGATATAGTCTCTCTTAATTAACCATTAATTAAAATATATTAGTTTTAAGTACCTTAATCATTAATTTATGTAAACCGTAAAAGGTTTGATGAAATTTTAAACTATTTTGACTAATTGCAATATTAGATCTGAAACGACTTTTAAAATATAATGATTTGAAAAATAAATGAGATATATATAAAATGACTTGAAAAATATAATCACTTTTTCAAAAAGTATTATTTCAAATTTCTTGGGCTATTTTAATATTTTTAAAACGATGTAATTAAAAGATTGTGAATAAAATAAAATAAAAGAATTAATATCGTGCAATTCACAGAGTCATAGTTATTTACAAAAAAAAAAAATTCATTCTTACATATATTTTTTAATAAATAACACATTGAACTTTTAAAAATTGGTTATTCGATCATTTCAACCCAAAAAATACTATATATCATGATTTGCTTGCATCACAAACTAAATAAATGAGAAAACAATTTTTAAGTCATGATTTTCTCGATTTTTAATCTATCTTGATAGTTGTTAAATAAATATTTTTATAATACGTAAAGATCTAATAATATTATTATTATATTAAATTTAATATGTAGTTTGGTAATATAAAAAATGTTGTTTGTTTTAATAATAAATTAAAAAAATATGTTGTTAAGGACAGGTATTAATATATATATATATATATATATATATATACTAGAAGCGTACTCGCGCAATGCAGCGAGATACATCGTTATTTTAATATTTCATTTTATTCTTTATCTCAGTCAATGTTATAATATGGTTTTATGTGATTTTGAGAAAACGATGATGTTTTTATTTTTGAATAA